CGGGAGGGGGGGGGGGGTGACTGCGAAACACCGATGGAGCCGGCCTAGCCCTCTCGTGCTCCGCCCCCCCCCCTTGCCCCTTTCTGGCGCGGCTTGCCCGGCGGTCACGGACCTCGGCGAGACGCAACGATGAGAGTTGTCCTTGGGGGGAGATCTCCTCCGGCCCCCAAAAAAAAATCCCGCTGGCCCTTTCTCCCCTGAGAAGAGTTCGCCCCGCAAACGGGCGTCGCCTGGCCCCCCCCCTCCGATCCGGGCGCGCAAGCCTTCGCACAAGAGGGCGCATCCCCGGAGGAAGGAGGAATCGAGGCGGAGCCGGGGGGGGGGTGGGGGCAAGCGCGAGATGGGCCTACTCGTTTGCAGGCGGGCCCTCGGGAAAAGCGCGGGGCCGTTCACCGGCAGCTGATCGCGGGCGGGTGTCCCGAATCAACCCGCGGATTCTCCAGGTCGGTCCCCGGGCGGGGGGGAGTGTGGGGGAGGCCTGCCCGGGGGGCGCGGGGGGACCGCGGCAAGGGCCAGGCGCAGACGCAGCGGGCGGCTCGTGGGACGGGACCTGCCGCAAGGCCAAAAGCCCAGGACTATGGGGCTCTCTACAGCCAGCTCACTCCGGATGCGGGGGGGGGGGGGGGGGCGCAACAGATCGCAGGGGTCTGGCGTGCCCCACTCCGACTGTGTGCCGCGTCGCGCGGCTAGTGTCTTATCGATGACCGTCTTCCAGCCTGGTGAGGGGTGTTCCAGGGGGTGCGGTGTGAAAATGCCGCGACGCCGCCAGGGCGACCGTTCTTCCGCCCCTCCCCTGCGCGCCCCCCGGGCTGCACGTGTATGTGTGGGAGGGTGCGCACGCATGCGCGCCCAAGCGGGTCACCCATTCCGGGCGCCCCCGAAGCTAGGAGGGGGCGACGTCGGCCGGGGGACCTTCGATATGGGGAGACACATGCGCCAAAATGACAAGCCCACACTGCGGTGTTGGGGTGGCGGGGGAGCCCGGGCGCGCGCGCGCGCGCGCGCGGACGCTTGGAGATTACTCGGCCGCCGCGCAGGTATCTCGTCGCGGGTGTAATCTTCTTCGCCCTGGGCGACGCGGAGCGGGTGTGGGCGTTGGGGCGCACTGGGGGCCAAGAACGGCGTATGTCGCGGGGGACATGGCCTGATCGGCAGACTCCGTGGGCTAGCGGATGCGATGGGTCCGAGGAGGGCCAGGCCGCCGGGACGGGGCGAGGGCCGGGGGGGGGGGGGGGGGGGGAGGCATATGGGCTC